GATGGGAAAAAGCAACGTAAACAAATATCGGTCTATACACTAAAAAACAAAGCCAGCTCTGAGCCGAAGGAGTCGGAAATCCCATCACTATTTCACTCTCCTCACTCTAATTGGCTGCAGTAGAAGTGAATATTTGTACTTTGACCTTTAACCTCTCTGCTCCGTGTTTGATCTTTCAGAGCAGAAAACCATCACGCTGAGTCTGGACAGGACGTCACTCTGACACGTCGAGCTCCAAACAACAACATCATAGTTGTAAAGTGGAGCCGAGCTGACCTGGGAGATGGCCGATTTGATCCAGATCTCCACCATCCATCTTTTATGAACCGGGTGGATCTGCAGGACAGACAGAAGAAGGATGGAGACGTGTCTTTGATTCTGAAGAATGTGAAGATTATTGACACTGGAACATACGAGTGTGGTGTCTTCATGGCAGAAACAGACACATCGCAGCTCATCAGCATCATCAGCCTGAAAGTTGTTCCTCCAGGTGAGTGTGTGTGTGATCAGAGGTGAAGCTGCTTCCTGGTTGTTGATGCTTGTTTCTAAAGATGTTGTTGATGAGACTTTGTAGAAAGCAGCTGGTCTGAGTGATGTGATCAGTAGATAATGTCTGACAGCAGTTTGAAGAGCAAATGGATTCTGTTCTGTTCTTCACTCATCACCTGCCTGACAGCTGACACCTGTTTCTCACCTGCAGGTTTTTATTCTTAATCAAGGAAATAAAAACAAATACATACAAGAACATAATAATTAACACATGAGTAGGTCAAAAAGATGAGTTATAATGTGAGGGGGAAATCATAAGCAGAGAGTGCTTGCTGGTGCTTTCCTTAGACAGTAAGCATCACAGAAAATGCCGCGTGTATCTTGTTCATCATGACTCTGGTTTTACGTGGCCTATGAACACAATTTATAAACTGGTATATATCACCTTGTTGTTTCGTCTTTAAGTGGTCATCTGACTGACTTACCAGGACTACTTTATTCTTCTGCTTCAGTCAAACAGCAGCACTCATGCAACTGTTTTGCCCCCTGAGCTCCAGGTGTTGTGCCAGACAGTGCTCGTGATCACCGTCCGCGGGAGAGCGCAGCTGCTTAAAGCTGCAGCGTCCAGATTACTTACAGCTACTTCCTGCAGCTGATATAAGCTGCAGGAAGCTGAACACAGCTTCAACGTCTGTTTGTTGAAAACTAGTAACGGACCGCGTTTTCTTCTTAGTAACTGTAACGATGTTGTAACGATAGGAATAGTAATTAGTTAGATTACTCGTTACTGAAAAAACTAATGCCTTTAGTAACATTGTTACTTGTAACGCCGTTATTCGCATCGCTGGTCGTAAGCCCCGCCTCTGTTCAAAGATGGTCGCTCACAGTGGACATAGATGCTTCTTTCACTCCTCTTTCAAACTATCTGTCCTCTCTGTCCAAAATGTGAACATTGGCATCCTCAAAGAGTGTCCTTTATCCTTTAGATGCAGATGGACTGCTGAGTCTTGTCCTGTGGAGGTGGCTCTTCTGTGTTGTGCCATGCACTTGTGAAGTGGCTGTTTGGTCTCTCCGATGTAGAGGTCTGGGCATTCCTCGCTGCACTGTACAGCATACACCACCCTAACCCTCTCATCCGAGAAGCAAGTCTTCAAGCAACCTAAAGACATCCAGACGCTTTTCTTTGCAAGCTCTTTAGACTACGATTGGAAGGTGAATCCAGTGCAGTTTTCAACCTGAGATGTATTGCTGCACTCAGGAGGACGAAATATTACAGATAAGCACTGAGCTTATCGTTGTGTTTTTTTATAATAATAATTTGCATCAGATGGACTATTTTCTGAGGTTAAATATTTTATGTTTTCCACGATTCACTGTGAATATAATGTGTTTATGAGATTTGCAAGTTTTCATTTTCATTCTTAATTAGACTAATCACCTTCACTTTGTGTCTGTAACACTAAAGAGAGTGCAGCACACTTTAAATTCATTCAATTACCTCAACAGGAAGGATCTGCATCTTCAAGCATGGAAACAAAACAGGTAAAGCTTTTAGTGTTTCTACTTTCAACACAGAATAATTTTACTGAATCATTTGACTTCATCCTTACTCTGAACTGCATGCTACACAGGCAGAAGTAGGAAAGCTATGATTTCAAGGCTTGATGCAGAATTCTTTTGTACGTTTTTGTTCTTGACAGGTTAAACCACAATAAATAGTGATAGCATACACGTGGTGTGTGTGTAGCTGTCTGCCTCTTATAACACCAGTGATTTTCCTGCAGTTTGACATCTTGTGCCATCCTGTGAATTTCCTGAGTTCAGCAACTAACCACTCTTACTAGATTGTATCAGGTCATCTCAACAAGAACAAATTAAGTTGTTGACTTTCATACAGATCCTTCATGATTTAATTACGTTCATAGAAACATGAAATTATTGTGTTTAAATTACAAGTTAGACTTTTTTAATGTAACAACTGCCCAATTTACTTTTTTCGGTATACCAACAAAAGTAGAGGCGGCTGCTCGACTTGACTGAGATGGATGCCTTCCTGAAACCACTGAGATCCCGTGCAGTGTCGCAGAAAGTTATTGTCTTACTTCACTCGAACATGATATGAACAATTTAATCTGCCTCTCTGCATATCATGTAGTTTCTACACTATATAGTTACACTTAACTTTAAAGCACGAGGCACTTGTGTTAAATACACGCAAGATGCTTACGTAAATCCAAGAGTTGGCCAATCCCTTTTTTTCAGTGTGCATATTGGAATGATTCAGCACTCCTTAGTTTTTCTTATCTTTTTGTAGACAGAGAAGACATCAGTTGCACTCTTCTTTACAGAAGAAGGCCAGAGTTGCTGTTAATATCAGAAATATCTACAACTGTAAGTTGTTCTTTAAGATTTTAACAGTTTTAGATCCATTACACTGACATAGCACTCTGGAGGATGACAAGAGCCACACATCAAAATAAAGAATTTTGTGCTTAATCTAAAATAAAACGAAATCTAAAATAAAACGAAATCTAAAATAAATTATGCATTTGCAAATTATTTTTTATGATTTTATTTATTCAAACACTATTTTTAAATCATATTTTCAAAATTAATTCTTAATCCCGGACAGCATGGTTAACACTGTTGCCGCACAGCAAGAAGGTCCTGAGATTAATTCCGCCACCTGCCCGAGGTCTTTCTGTGTGGAGTTGGCATGTTCTCCCCGTGTTTGCGTGGCTTCTCGATGGGTATTTTGCCCATAGGTGTGAATGCAGGTGTGAAAGGTTGCTTCAGGGTTGAAAACCTGAAGCAATGCAAATTAACCACAAGGCTCTATGTAAGTAGCTCCCTGATTGGTTGGAGAGAAACATGGATTCTCTGCATGGATCTTTCACTTGATTCGCTCGTTGGTAGATGATTCATTGGTGGGTCCACAACCCCCTTGGAGACACTTAAAATCTGGGACTTTCCACTAAATATTTAAAGAAACATAAAGAAGTGCCTATGCTTATCTTTGCAAGCTCTTTAGATGGCTGTTATAGTGTTCAGACTCCAGTACTACATTAACACGAATTCAATACATGCAGTCAGACTCAAGACCAGACATTAGAAATAAATCTTTCAGGTTTCAGGATGTGAAGAAATGGCACAGTGATCAAGTTACAGCACATTTTGGGAAAATAGTTTCCTGATAAATTTGTGCAGTAAAGAAAAATGTGGCAGTTTTGAATGTGAAAATGAAGTTAAGAGTATAGGTAAGCTGCATGTTAAGAAGAAATACGAAGAGTAATAGGACAGAGGCTGGGCATTATTACAATGTTCAAAGGCAAGTGGGTGTTTTTACATAATGTGCTATAATGTCAGGATGGAGCTGCGTGCTCCGGTGTGTACTGGCTCACTGTTGGTGGCTGCTTAGCAGGACTTGCCCCCCCACCTTCAGAAAATAATTCTGATTGTTACAGTGCCAGACAGGACAGGAAAAGTAAGACAAATTACTTAAAAAAAACCTGAAAAACCAAAGAACGAGAGCTTTAGTCAGGCTGGAATAAATAGCTTAAAGTCATTATTAAAATGGTAAAAGTTATTGTGATTATTGCAGGCAAATGGAAAGAGTAGAGCATATCAATCAAAATCAATCAATCAAAATTTATTTATATAGCACATATTAAAACAACAGTGTTGACCATAGTGCTTCACAGTCAATAAAAACATGAGACAGATAAAACAAACAATAAAAGAGGACAACAACAATAGGTAACAACGCAACAAGCTAAAACAGCCAACTAGACAGAATCAAAAGCCAAAGTAAAAAAAATAAGTTTTATAATAAATAAAACCATCAGCAAATTCTGTATGAGCTTCCTTTTGCTCATCATAGATTGTGTGAAAAAGTAAAGATATTGTAATAATGTAGACTCTGGCTCATGTAGGTATTCTGGGTAATGGAAGAGCAGATAGTTTTGCTAAGGAAGCTGTTATATGAGTAGATGTTGATGTGCAGATACCATTGTCTAAATCTGAAGGAAACAGTATGGTTTGGAAAGCAAGTAAGAATTTAAAATGGAAATGGCATGGGCTGATGAAATAAAAGGGAGACATTTATATAGATTGCAAAACACAATAGAAGTTCAGAGGAGTAGAGGATTAAATAGGTGGGAGGAGATAATTATAAGTAGAATATGAGCAGGGCATTGCTTTCTCTATGGCACTATTTTTAAGATGGAGAAACATCCGACTGGGTTGTGTAATTGGTGTAATGCTAGAAAGCATTGAGCGTTTGCTTATTAGTTGCAGGAAATATGTCAGTCAAAGGAGAATGTTGAGGGTAGTAATGGGTAGTACTACAGAAGTTTGAAAAGGTGACTGAGTGCTTAAGTCATGATGAAGGGAAAGGAGGGGTTTATCAGTTTTTGAGAAATACTGGACTCATCCAGTGGCTCTAAGGATTTGGAAGTGATGTAACAATAAACCCAGCAGAGGGCAGTAGTGCGACATCTTTGGATGCAAGCTGTTACTAAAACGGATGAACAAGAAGGAGAAGGAGCCGCATTAGTATGAAATACTGGGAGGAGGAGCAAGAAGAGCTGAAAGGCAAAACATTATTAAATATGTAATCTGATGTGTTCAGGTTTAACCTCAGCTGAAAACAGCAGCAGACTTTTAGGACAAACTAGCTAACCTCCCTAACTCTCAGCAGAAACATGTCTGCTGTAACTGCGTCACTCTGCTCCGCTTTGGTGTTTGTCGTGTTCGTCTCTGCAGGTGAGGTTTCAGAATTTAACTGGATTAAAACACAAACTGAGGTCATTTGAGAAAAAATTGGCTGCATGGTAAAAATATTAATATTTGTTCGACTTTTTAAAAGCAAACATTTTCCTGTGAGACAAACAGCTGGCAGCAGAGTTACTTTCATACTGGTTCAGTTTGTCCGTGTGTGCAGAGACTAATAAAGTCTCTCTCTATTCTGAATAATACATTCAGTTTGATACCGTGGAGCTGGTTAAAGAACAGCTGCGCATTTTTATTTATTTATTATTTTTCTTACCATTGTTTTCCTCTTTAAGGCATAAAATGAAAACTCGGAGCGATCAGCTGTGATTTTCAGCTTTACTGAAGACTTTATTTAAATCCCATCGACACAAAACAATAACAAGGGTTATGACAAAATAAGATCAGCAGAACTACAGAAGCCGTATCTCTGCTCTAACTACGTCACTCACTCTGATGTTTGTCATGTTTTTGTGTTTATTAACTCTTCCAAACTAAACTGTCCCCGAGATACATCAGCTGGTTTACATGTTACTAACAAACCCTTATTTTCATATTGTTTCAGTGTGTGTGAAGGAGACACGAGGCTGGGTGGACACTTAACATCTGTAATGCAGCTGTGACAGAGACAAAGAAGTGGAATGTGTGTGTCAGTAAGTAAGTAAGTAAAATTTTATTTATATAGCACATTTCTAGATAAAGGATCACAAAGTGCTTTACAAGGTATAGGCACAGATTAAAAAAACAAAGTACAGTCAAAAGTTAACAAAATGCAATTTTAAAAAGATGTTTTTAGCTGTTTTTTAAAAGTAATCAGTGAATCAGCAGATCTTAAGTTCTGAGGAAGAGAATTCCACAGTCTGGCGGCCACAGTAGCAAAAGCTCGATCACCCCTAGTTTTCAGTCTTGTATACTGAATAACAAGTAGGCCCTGACCACAAGACCTCAGAGACCTACTAGGGGCATAGGGCTGTAAGAGTTCAATGATGTATGATGGTGCTTGTTCTTGAAGAGCCTTAAATGTCAGAACCAGAATCTTAAAGTGGACTCTGAATTCGACAGGGAGCCAGTGTAACTGTATAAGCAACGGTGTTATATGTGAGTATTTCGATGTTTTCGTCAGAAGCCTTGCTGCAGCATTTTGGACAGTCTGCAGACGCTCCAGGGAACTTTTGTTTAGACATGTAAACAGTGAATTGCAATAGTCCAGTCGTGATGAAATAAAAGCATGAATAACAATCTCCAGTTCAGTATGAGATGTGTGTGATGTGTTGTAGTGTCAGGAGTCAGGATGCAGCTACAAAGCTTTCTGTTCAGTGTATACAAACAGCTGTAGCTCCATAAAGGCAGCATGCAGAGGCTCACAGTGTCTTATACTGAGAGGCTGCTTTCTCTCACACATTATGTTCACTTATTACCAGCACATGTTGTTGTTCTGTGGAAGCTAACATCTTGGAGTTTCTGACACTTTGCATGTTTAGCATGAGGCTAAAATTCCCCCTCAGTGGGTCACTGGTGACCTGGTGGATGTTCAGAGGTTCATCAAATCCAACATGACTAAAAACTCAAATGTCAAAGGAAATAAACAAAATTTTAAAGTCAATCATTCTGATCGTGATTGTACTTTGACCTTTAACCTCTCGGCTCTGTGTTGTTTCCTCTTTCAGATCTGGAAATGATTACAGCTGAGTCTGGACAGGACGTCACTCTGCCATGTCGAGCTCCAAACAAAAAGATCATACTTTTAAGATGGAGCAGAGCTGACTTGGAGCCAAAATATGTCCTTTCATACTGGAATGGTCACTTTGATCCAGATCTCCAGCATCCATCTTTTAAGAACCGGGTGGATCTGCAGGACAGACAGATGAAGGATGGAGACGTGTCTTTGATTCTGAAGGATGTGACGATTAATGACGCTGGAATATACAGGTGTCGTCTCTTCATGGCAGAAACAGACTCATGGCAGCTCATCAGCATCATCAGCCTGAGTGTTGTTGTTCCTCCAGGTGAGTGAGTGTGTGATCAGAGGTGAAGCTGCTTCCTGGTTGTTGATGTTTGTTTGTTGTATGGATGAGCTGGTGGAAGTTAGAGGTAGACAGATGTTTCTCCAGCTGTTGTCTCTAACTCGTGTGTAAACGTCTGCTGTAACTGTGTCGGTCTACTTGAAGGTGAAATCAGATCAGAATCAGAATCTTTATTAATGTAACAGAGGCCACACATAATAGAGGACACACTCTTGACCTACTGATCTCCAAAGGCCTGAGCATTTCAAAGGTTACTGTGTCTGATGTGGGCCTGTCTGATCATTACTGTGTTTTCTTTGAAAGTAAAATCTCAGCCCACACAAATATATCAACAGCAGTGATAACAAAACGGTGTATAACTGAAAACAGTAGTGAGATCTTTAACCAGGTCTTCCCATTAACACCTGACCTGTCCAGAGGGTCAGTCAGTGAGCTCGTCAATAGCTTCAATGCTAACATGTTAAATGTAATGGACACTATTGCTCCCATTAAGGTGAAGGTTATCTCTGGAAGGAAAAAGTCTCCATGGAGAAACTCCACACTGGTGAAAAATGAAAAAAGAGAGTGTAGGAAAGCTGAGCGCAGATGGAGAAAAACAAACCTCCAGGTTCATTATGACATCTATAAAGAGAAACTTCACAATTATAATTTACAACTGAGGAGTGCAAGGAGGTCCTACTTCTCTGACATCATCACTAAAAACAGCCATAATGCTCGTGTCTTATTTTCTACAGTTGACAGGCTAACAAACCCTCCTGTGTCAGTGGCAGCTGAACTTCATTCGACCATGGCCTGCAATGACTTTGCCAAATTCTTCACGGAAAAAATCCAAAAAATTAGACAAGCAATTGGTACATCAACAGCAGATCCAGGATATGTACTGTGTCCATCAAAAAGCTGTTTAAACACCATCAAACAGTTTCAACCTATTAACAGCAAAGACCTGGAGGACATCTTAGGTCAACTGAACTCCTCCTCCTGCTGTTTAGATGTCCTGCCAACAAGTTTTTTCAAAAAGGTCTCAAAGACTTTAGAGTCAGACCTGTTACAGATCGCCAACTTTCTTTATTATCAGGTGTGTTTCCAGAACCACTAAAAACTGCTGTAATAAAACCTATACTGAAAAAGGACAATCTTGACAAGACACAAATGAACAACTACAGGCCGATCTCAAATCTCCCGTTTTTAAGTAAGATCATTGAAAAAGCAGTTTCTCAACAGCTCAGTTACTTCTTAAAACGATTACAGGTCACCAGAGAACTTCAATCTATACATCTAAAAACCACAAACCAGGCGAGAAATTTGGGTGTAGTGATGGATGCAGACCTAAACTTAGAAAAACACATTAAGACAATAACAAAGTCAGCTTACGATCACCTCAAGAATATATCAAGGATAAAAGATCTGATGTCTCAACAGGACCTGGAAAAACTAGTCCATGCATTCATCTTTAGTAGGCTTGATTACTGTAACAGCATCTTTACAGGTCTACCTAAAAAATCAGTCAGACAACTACAGCTCATTCAGAACTCTGCTGCTCGAGTCCTCACTAAGACCAAAACAGTGGACCACATCAGTCCAGCTCTGAGGTCTTTACACTGGCTGCCTGTCCGTCAGAGGATAGACTTTAAAGTTCTGATGCTGGTCTATAAAGCTCTGAATGGTTTAGGACCAAAATACATCAATGACCTCCTGACCCAGTATGAACCATCCAGATCCCTCAGGTCATCTGGATCCGGTCTTTTATCAGTTCCCAGAGTCAGAACCAGACACGGAGAAGCTGCATTCAGCTTTTATGCTCCTTATATCTGGAACAAACTCCCAGAAAGCCTCAGATCAGCTGAAACACTCAGTTTATTTAAATCCAGGTTGAAGACTCACCTGTTCTCAGCTGCATTTGAATAAAGCACCAAATCCACACTTTAAGCTTAAATTTCAAAACTTACATTTAACTACTGATTTTATCTACTGTTCTGATTTTATCTGTTCTGATTTTATCTGTTTTGATTTTATATACTGTTTTGTTTGTTTGTTTGTTTGCTTGTCTTAATCAATTTTAAATCATGCTTTTTATTTGTTTTTGTTTTCAATGTCTCTGTAAAGCACTTTGAATCACCTTGTTGTTGAATTGTGCTATACAAATAAACTTTCCTTGCCTTAATCCCTAAAGAAATTATGTGTGTTTACAGTTGCAGACAGATGGCCATGGGCAGGAATGATTTCTTGTGTCCTTTAGTGGTGCATCATGGGTAATCTCAGTCTCTCACTGAACGAGCTCCTGTGACTGACCAACATGTCATGGAGTGGGTGGGAGGTGTTATCCAACATTGTCTTTATCTTGGACAGCATCCGCCTCTCCGACACCACCTTGAGGGAGTCCAGCTCCATCCCCACAACATTGCTGGCCTTACGGATCAGTTTATTAAGTCTGTTGGCATCTGCGACCCTCAGCCTGCTCCCCCAGCATGCAACAGCATAGAGGATCGCACTGGCCACCACAGACTCATAGAAAATCCTCAGCATTTTCTGGCAGATGTTGAAGGACCTCAGTCGCCTCAAAAAATAGAGACGACTCTGGCCCTTCCTGTAAAGTGCTGTGGTGTTTTTAGCCCAGTCCAGTTTATTGTCAATGTGTACTCCAAGGTATTTATAGTCCTCCACAATGTCCACACTGACCCCCTGGATTGAAACAGGGGTCAAGTGTTTCCTGGTCTTCCTGAAGTCCACGATCAGTTCCTTGGTCTTTGCCACGTTGAGCTGCAGATGATTCTGCTCACACCACGTGACAAAGGAGTCGACCACAGCCCGGTACTCTGTCTCATCATCCCTGCTGATGCATCCAACCACCGCAGAGTCATCAGAGAACTTCTGAAGATGGCAGATCTCTGTGCAGTGGCTGAAGTCTGTGGTGTAAAGGGTGAAGAGGAAGGGGGAGAGGACAGTCCCCTGTGGTGCCCCTGTGTTGCTGATTACTTTGTCAGACACACACTTTGGAAGACACACATATTGTGTGTCAGGTAATAAACAATCCAGGACATCAGAGAAGCATCCACCTGCATTGCTGTTAACTTATCACCCAGGAGGGCCAGCCTGATGGTGTTAAATGGACTGGAAAATTAAAAAATACATGACCCTCACAGTGCTCGCCGGATTGTCCAGCGGGGGATCCTGATGTGGTCTGACTATAGGTTTTAGCTGGTCCAAGATGAGTCTTTCCAGTGTGTTCATCATGTTGGAGGTCAGTTACACAGGCCTGTAACCCTGGGGGCTGCTGGGATCTTTGGTACAGAGATCGACAGACCACGTGACTTTCGCGCATTGCATTGTGGGTACGAGTGGCAACACAATCAAAACATTGCATCAAGCACAGCATTTCCAGCACCAGTAATCATTAATTCTGTGGTTTTAATCCCTACTTACATTTTATTTGCCCCAAAAACAGTTCTGTACAAAACGACGGAGAACACGGCAGCTCCGTACAAAGACAGACGTGACGAAAAGGCAAAAAAATGTACGAGGAAAAAAATCAAAGGAGTGAAAGGGTAAGACCCATACGAGCATACAGAGTGGCGTTTCATCATGCACATATTTATTATTATATGGTCCTAAGTGTGAGTTCATACATTCACAAGATGTTTTGTAACTTCAGATCCTGCAACAAGCCCAGGTCAATTTTACTTTGCTGATTTGGACTATTCCATCTCACAGCTGTTGTTAATTTTTTTTCCTTTGCATTGGCCTGTACAGGAGATAATCTAATTGTTGTCATTATTTATAACTGGCGTTATTGTTTCATTCTGTTATAGAATCTTACAAGAAAGAGGCAACGTTGTATTCCATTATGCTTTATTAGCTGCTGTGGTAAAAACAAATCAACAATGCGACAACAATAAAAGAAAAAACAACACTGCAAAACAACATACTGGAAAACAGTTATTCATGACTTGCTTGCTTCAGTACAACACTTGGGCACATATATGCAAACGTTTAGTGGCTGTTTTGGTCTCGCTCTCTCTCTTAACCGATCAAATCTCTCTGTGGTAGCAGCTTTAAACTCGGTATGACCCCGGCTGATAGAGGGGCCAGTCTGGATTATTCCAGCATTTTGTTTCTGGTTTTCCTACAAATCACAACAAACATTAGCCCGCAAAGCCACAGTGAACAAAGCAGCATAGCAACAAATTCAATTCAAATCAATATAAGACTTATTTGTAACCTACATCAACAATTATGTTATGATAAATTACGTAATAACTACAAAGGAAGACTTACCTTTGTAGAAATGCTTGGAGCAGACTAACATGTGAGCTGGAGTGTTCTGGGACGTTATATTTGGTCTTCAAATGGCTGCAATCCAGGCCATCCGTCAGCTTTTTGTTACTTCGGAAACATGACATGAACAATTTCTCTTCCACGATGGAATCCGCTTAAAACCGATCTCTTTACCCGTCGGCTTCCCGTCACTGTCATGCGACCGGCTATTGCAGTTAATAATAGAACAGCTTCTTGCCATTCTTTGTGTTTCTTTGCTGTGTTACTGTTTTCTTGTGAAAGGCTGCGTTCACTAGTACCACTTACCACTCCTACAATCCTTCAACCTTTTGCGGTTTTGACGTCACATTTTCGAGCTCTATTGTCTTTAGCCTCTCTGATCTTGTCCTTTAGTAACACCTGGACCCTTCTAGTCATTGAGGTTGGTGGGACAGACCACATACTGTGTGAAAGCTGGCAGTGACATGGTTGAAGTACCCCAATGTTGCAAAAAAGGCACTGGAGTGGTGAGACTAACCGGGCTATGGCAGAGTGGATAGTGTTACATGCTGGCAGAGGGAGGAACATAAGCAGCCCCCAAGATTACATGGGTAAATTCCCTGGGCAAATAATACAGCCTGAGTCCAACAGTGCACAGTTCAGTGTCCAGGCAGCATTCTTTGAATGATATGTGGGCAAGTTTACACCACCGGTTGTTAACAAGAAGAGCAAGCTCCCCTCCTTTCTGCTTACCGCTCACGGCACTGACCCTGTCCGTCCGAACAATGTGGAAGCCTTCCACGGACGTGTTGTCGTCGGGAATGTCCTGATGTATCCATGATTCTGTGAAACACATCAGGCTACACTCCCGATATTCCCTCTGACTCTGTGCTAGCATCGTTAGCTCATTAATTTTATTTGCTAACGACTGAACATTTCCCATTATGATAGACGGCAGACACGGTTTGTACTTCAAGCATCCCCTGTCTTGCTGTCTCCTTCCTTCTCCTCTTCTGTCCTCCACCTCTGCATCCTTGGTGTGTTCTCCTCCAGATTTCAGCTGGCACGTCTGTGGGTCTGAGTACTATCAGCTGCTCTCTCGAGTAAACAGCCCGTGCAGTATGTAGAAGTTGTGCTGTGGTCCTGTTGCTCGATAAAAGGAACATTTTCCAACCCCAAGTAGATCAAAAACTCTCTCAATCCACATGATTGAAATAAAGTTATTAAAACAGACGCAAGTACAAGTAAAAAAAAAAAAAGTAAGAAAAAAGCTAGACTAAAGAGAAAAAGCGGGAACAACTGGAAAAGGCAGCATGCTTGTTGACACATGTGCACTACAACCTAGTGCACACCTGGAAATCTAGCTGGTACAAACCAAATGATGTTTATATCTGTGATAAAGATTATGTGTCTGGTTTACATGTGAATGATTCGTTTAGAATTATTATTTTTTATATGGACTCAGTTTTTCTGTGTGTATGAAGGACATGCAAGACTGATTGGGCACTTAACATCTGTAATGCAGCTGTGACAGAGACAAAGATGTCTAATGTGTGTCAGTGTGATGTGTTGTAGTGTCAGGAGTCAGTATACAGCTACAAAGCTTTTTGTTGCTGACATCCAGGAACATATACAACAATTTGTTGCTTATTTCTTTTGACTCAAATGTCGAAGAAAAAAAACAAAATGTATAAAGTCAATCATTCTGATCATGATTGTACTTTGACCTTTAACCTCTCTGCTCTGTGTTGTTTCCTCTTTCAGTCCAGAAAACCATTACAGCTGAGTCTGGACAGGACGTCACTCTGCCATGTTGAGCTCCAAACAACAAATTCATATTTTTAGAGTGGAGCAGAGCTGACCTGGAACATAATTATGTGCTTTTGTACCATGACGGTTACTTTGTTCCAGATCTCCAGCATCCATCTTTTAAGAACCGTGTGGATCTGCAGCACAGACAGAAGAAGGATGGAGACGTGTCTTTGATTCTGAAGAATGTGAAGATTATTGACACTGGAACATACGAGTGTGGTGTCTTCATGGCAGAAACAGACTCATCGCAGCTCATCAGCATCATCAGCCTGAAAGTTGTTCCTCCAGGTGAGTGTGTGTGTGATCAGAGGTGAAGCTGCTTCCTGGTTGTTGATGCTTGTTTGTTGTATGGATGAGCTGGAGGATGTCAGAGGCAGTCAGATGTTTCTCCAGCTGTTGTCTTTGTGGCTGGTAGTCTAGAGTTCACTTGTGTTCACTTATTACCAGCACATGTTGTTGTTCTGTGGAAGCTAACATCTTGGAGTTTCTGACACTTTGCATGTTTAGCATGAGGCTAAAATTCCCCCTCAGTGGGTCACTGGTGACCTGCTGGATGTTCAGAGGTTCATCAAATCCAACATGACTAAAAACTCAAATGTCAAAGGAAACAAACAAAATATTTACCCTCCTAGGACCTGGCATTCACATATGTGGACATCACATTTTGGGTGGTCTAGACCAGAACACTAAATTTTGCTCTACAAGGATATTCACTTACGAGCAGTGTAATTAATTACTAATTACTTAATCAATATTGTATTTAAAATACTTATCTAATTACTGTGTCTGAAAAGTAACTTAATTACTTAATAAGTAATTTAACTAAATACTTCTTAAAATCCCTATAAACCTTGAGTGGACAAACAATAGAAATTAAACTCTTTACATAATAAATAATTTTTTTTTAAAGACGGAGACTCTACAGCAGCGGTCTCCAACCTTTTCTGCGCCACGGACCGGTTTATGCCTTACAATATTTTCATGGACCGGCCTTTAAGGTGTCGCGGATAAATACAACAAATAAAACTAGTACCGGTACTGAAAAAGAAGATTTATTCATAACACACGTGAAAAGACCCAGGAAAACCGAGTTAACGATAAAAACGATAACAGAATAACGCTGAAAACCGATAAAACCCTGAAAACCAGACATTTCACACCCGAGCCTCAACTCTCGCGGCCCGGTACCAAACGACCGGTCTGTGGCCCGGGGGTTGGGGACCGCTGCTCTACAGTACGCAGCGGCAGCATCTCTTCCACAGCCTGCAATCATTCTTTAAGCTCACCTTCAGATGCTTTCTGTGCTGCTGAAGTAAAACCAGGTTTTGCTGCTTAGCAGGAGCTGCCGCGGTGTTATCCATGGATGATGAACAAGGATCGCTCAGAAGTGTTCGTCTATGCTCTCGTGTCCATGTCATGAAACAGCCACTCGCTTCAGCCGAGTCAGACAGCTTCTGCTTTAGAATACGACTGTGCAGCAAACTGGCGTGAAATGACGAGTAGCTGCACTACAGCCATGTTAAAGAGCAGAGTTTACTTCTACGTTTAGAAGATAAATTAATGAAATTAAATAATGATATTCAGCGAGTTTAATTATTTTACAATGTAACGCAAGTACATTGTAAGTAACTGTAATTAAAATACCTAAAAATGAACAGTAATCAGTTACTCTACTTTTTCAGTGGAAAAGTAATTTAATTACAAAAAGTAATTTAATTACAGTAACGTGTTACACCCAACACTGCTTACGAGGACATTATACTGCCGCCGTCCTATCAAAATTTAAAACAAATGTCCTCATATGTGGATCTCATTTTACTCAGAAACTCAGGAAAAAATAATGCTGTTTATTTATGCTTGCTAAAAAGATCATTCTTTGTTCTTACATTCATAGGGTCCCAATCAGTCCAAATAGCAAAGAGAAATTAAAAATGCATGTCATGAAAGAGTTTCAGGAGGTTAAAGTCAATCATTCTGATCATGATTGTATCTTGACCTTTAACCTCTCTGCTCCGTGTTTCCTCTTTCAGACCAGAAAACCATCACAGCTGAGTCTGGACAGGACGTCACTCTGACATGTCGAGCTCCACGAGGCAAACCCATCAGAGCTGTGAAGTGGAGCAGAGCTGACCTGGGAGATATTTATGTGCTTTCATACTGGAATGGTCACTTTGATCCAGATCTCCACCATCCATCTTTTATGAACCGGGTGGATCTGCAGGACAGACAGATGAAGGATGGAGACGTGTCTTTGATTTTGAAGAATGTGACGATTAATGACGCTGGAACATACGAGTGTCGTGTCTACATGGCAGAAACACACTTATGGCAGTATATCAACACCACCACCCTGAGTGTTGTTGTTTTTCCAGGTGAGTGAGTGTGTGATCAGAGGTGAAGCTGCTTCCTGGTTGTTGATGTTTGTTTCTAAAGATGTTGTTGATGAGACTTTGTAGAAAGCAGCTGGTCTGAGTGATGTGATCAGTAGATAATGTCTGACAGCAGTTTGAAGAGCAAATGTTCTGTTCTTCACTCATCACCTGCCTGACAGCTGACACCTGTTTCTCACCTGCAGGTCACACAGGAGGACTCAGAGTGGATGGATCTGTTGGACTGCTCATTGGTCTGAATGTTTTTGCCGTGTTTCTTGTTGCTCTTGTTATTGTTTTTCTGATCTGCAGAAAATATTAACTACAGAATCTGGATTTTAACTCCTACTAACCTCTAACCTTAGGAGGTAGAAATGTCTCAGAGCTTTTTACAGCTTTGAGTCTGCTGCTGCTGTTCAGAGTTCTGGGTATTGTCAGTGTTTAAAATCATACAGAAACAGATGAACTGAGCACAGACAACAGGCCCACAAACACTGTATGTACATTTCATTTTTACTCAATGTTTTTGTCTTGAGGTTTAAAAGATTGTCAATCAACAGACCAAACGGCCTCTTCGGACTTCCATGCAAACAAGAAGTGTTGGCTCCACCTTTAAAGAATAAGAGGAAGTGAAGCGATCATCCATCTTTGATTCCTGGTTCACACTAAAACGCGAGGAGTCGGAGGGCTTTTCTTCTTCTCTGATGTGTTTGTGTCTCCTCGTCTGAAGGAGGAGACAAAGTGAAGGAAGCACAGCTGTGTCCTTAGCAGCAGAGTTTAACCTTCAGTTTTAATAGAAGGCCACAGCTGGAGGATAAACAAGTCTTCCTTTTAATACAACTTTACAGTCACCCAGCATCCTGTTTCTGAGGACAGGGCTGTTTATTTTAAACACTAGAAGGAACCTGGATAAGTAAAAATATTAATGAGAGACACTGAGATGTCAGTGTCTTTATTTAAATTGTGAATCTGACTTTTATAAAATTGATCATTTGGTCGTTTCTGTAACATCCTGACATGTTGAACATCATATCACACTCAGAAATATGCATGAAGAACTTGCTCCACTTCAACATTATTTATCAACAATGTTTCTCCACCATCGTTTTTGCAATTTCCAAATAAATGTGGTTTTATTCTAATTTAGTGATAACTTATTTCTATCAAACCATGTTTTCAGTTGAAGCATTTCTTGTGTGAAAATTCACAAAAGCTGCTGTAAATTCTCTCCAGCAGAGAAAATATTTATCTCATCCACAAATAAAATAAACTGTAATAGCTCCGGATGTTTTACATTTATGATTAATGTACAGCATAGGTGTCAAACTCTGGCCCGTGGGCCAAATTTGGCCCGCAGCCTAATTACATTTGGCCTGCGAAGCCATACCAAATTACTATTAGAGCTGGCCTACTGGTATTATACAGCTAATATATATATTGTTTAGTATTAAGCTTTGCTTGTTCCATATTCAGCTTTTCAGCAAAACTTGTTTAAGTCCATAAGAAAAGATTCATTTTTACATCTGGAGGAAGATTTTTTTTCAATAAATATTAACGTTAGCCCGCGACTTTGTTTGAATTTTGGCCCACTGTGTATTTGAGTTTGACACCCCTGCTGTACAGGATAAATGTGTGAAACAGAAAATTTTAGTTGTTCTGGTTGATTGACTTTAATGATATTGAATTGATAAGAAAATAAAGACTAAACCACAACCTCAGCCTAAAAACATCTGGCAAGACATTTGGTGTCTTTAATGATTTGTTCAATTTGTTGTAAAGAATAAAAATCATTCTCTAGTAGTTGTTGTTGAATATTTGCTCAGTTTGTTGTTTTATATGACTTCAAAGTCCATTTTCTGTTGTTTAATTCTTAGGTAAATTAAAGCAACGTGAGTATAGGAAATAAACTTTCATTATTTTCTTTAATTCAAATGACAGTGGCATATTGCAGTTGTGTTTTATTAAACTACATAAACATGGAGCAGCTAAATCTGTGGCGAGGACCTGTGTTCTTGAATAGTTGACTTTAGTTCTCACAAAGCATGTAAGTCGCCTCAAGGCTCTTGATGCGACTGTTGTTGTGATTTGACGCTGTATAAACAAAATTGAATATTTTATTTACTGTTCCTCAGCCTGTGAAGCATTGATGGTGTCTCTCAGTATTTAAGGTGGAGTTGGGTTAAGAAAAAAACACAAAGCTGAAGGTTTTTATTGTCTGATAAACTACAAAGTCATGAACATGTGACTCAGACTGGATTAACTTCTGGATCACATCTTCTGAACCAGCTCAGAGCTCCTGAAAAAAAAAAAAAAAAGCTGAGGAGAGACCCGGATGGGATTCACCCACAACAACATGCCTGCAGGCTCCTCTGGGAGACAGCTAAGCCAAAGCAGACTGAGGCTACATCTACATCTTCCCGATAAATTTGAAAAGTGTTTTCGTCTGAAAACGCTCCACGTCCACACTATCGTTTTCAGTCGTTCTGAGTTTTTCGTTCACATTGAAACGACTAATCGCCCTGTGTCATTTCTGTCTGCCGTTTATTTATTTTTCGGCTCCTTAAAACATCAAAAAGGCAAAATGTTGAGGAAAAACAACAAGTTTTTTAAATGAATTGACAATGAGGTGGAGCTCTTGCTGCGAGTAACACAAAAGTACAAAATTGCAAAAGTGAGTTAGAATTAAAGATTTTGAAGGGAAGCTATCTGGAGCATGTACAAATTGATATTATCTTTAACAGGGCTGTCAAAATTGAGAGCAAACAAAACAACTGCTGTTTAATTCCCTCTGCCAACTTAGTTTAATTGTTCACATGACTGCATCATATGACTAACTAGTTTCCAAAAGTCTCCGCTTTCGCTGTCCACTTCAAATCGCTCAGTTTTCCTTGACCAAAAACGTCTTCTCGATGTGGACACATCTCCAAAACGGAGAGAAAAAGATGACTTTTATGACCTGATCCACATCAAAGAGTTTATGTTGATCAGAACAGTTTCAAGAAAACTTTCCCCCACCATTTGTGTGCTCTTTTTCCTGGATTACTTATTACTACTTACGAAATGTGCAGGCTAAGAAGAGATGGAAAAGAGGCTTTAGGGCCAGCATCCAGGTACACATTAGATGAGCCTCTAGATCGGAGATTCCCCAACTGGTCTGGAGTTTTTGCTGCCAGTTACCCTTCTGGATTTGGTTGGAAATGAAGCCTGGATTCTTCTTGTCTGATTTTCTGGATTCTGTCAATTACCTGTGTTATGATTCGTTCGTTATGGATCAGAGAAGAAAGCAGGCTGAATCCAGGTATAGGTGTCAAAAATAGTGATCTTTATTACATACCTCTAAAACAGAGGCATGGGAAGACAAGCGCACAGTAACAGATCTTCGGCGAGCGGAGGCTCTCCATATCTTTTTATACTATTCATGATGACGTCACACAGACCTTACTGGAAATGATATCAAGTCCCCACAATCCCAAAAGTTTCCCTTATATAGACATCAGATGATAACTTTAAGAGAAAAACAAGTGTGTGATCTGTTGTGCATTTTGTGAAACTGTGAGTCCACTAGAGAAGATGTCATGAGACGACCTCCCCTTTGTTAATAAGTGTGTATGTGAGGGAACGTGCGTGTGTTACATAAGTCTGTATATATGTGCACGTTAGTGAGGCCTGACTACGTGCAAAACTGAATGTAACAGTCCAGCTCGAGTGGAGTGGTGATGTTGCAACAGCTTAAGCAGAGAGAAAGAATAATCCAGAACAACCATATACTACTTCAAGTGATGGAAATATGTGTACATTAATATTTTACTCAGATTAACATAGATCTAAATAAAAGGTTATTCTGTCAACAGATACGACAATGATATATTGCTGATAAACTGATGCAGACTAATGAAGTAATAATGAACTAATAACAGTGCATGTAAATGATATCAGTGAGATTAAAATAACATACATTATCCTAACAACCCCTTTGAAACAATGTAAGACATTCAACATAATACAGGTCAATCAAACAGATCTAATGATTTTTAAGGGTATAACCTGATCTACAACAGTATCATAATGCAACTACTTTGATCTCATATATAAGGGAACATATGATAACAAAATAATCTCCACACCTGTAAACTGCTGTGCCCTCGTAGCTTGCATTGCAAAACCAGTGGCTGGTCCTGCTGTTAGTTCCACTTCCACAAGCTGATGTGGAACCTCTTGAACACCCACTCCATCGCCAACAAATCCTTCTCCCTGAATGAGATTTCCACAGGAAAAAAGTTGGATTTTCTGTTTCTCTCTGAAACATGGCAGAGGGATGGTGAGGTTATTAACCTAAACCAACTGCGCCCTACTGGCTGCTCCTACTTGGGCGCCCCCTGTTTCAGTCACCGTGGTGGAGGACTTGCTGTCGTCTTTAAGGACAGTTACACATGCAAGTATCCAAACAATCAAGGTTGGCTCTATGAACATGTTTTATTGTGTTTTCATTTATCACCCTCCTCTGCTTCTTTATTCAGATCAAACTGAGGTTATTGTACTCGGCCCTGAAAATCTTAGAAATATGGTATCTAACCAGACTCTTACTCTGGATGGCATTACCTTGGCCTCCAGTAACGCTGTGAGGAACCTTGGAGTCATGTTTGACCAGGACATGTCCTTCAACGCGCATATTAAACAAATATGTAAGACTGCATTCTTCCATTTGTGCAACATCTCTAAAGTTAGAAATATCCTGTCTCAGAGTGACGCTGAGAAACTAGTTCATGCATTTATTACTTCCAGGCTGGACGACTGTAATTCATTATTATCAGGATGGCCTGATAATAATGGCCCCACCCCTTATAGAATATGATGTAACACTATAGATCAACTTAGCTCAGAATATATAAAGCATATAAACAGTTACAGCAATATGATGCAACAAACACAGCAGCTACTGATCCAAAATACTCAAAGCTTCATACACAGCAAAATCTCCAGTGTTAAATTAACACTAGAGAGTGTCTATATGGGTCCACACCTCTGAGTGTTAAATACAACACTGTTGAGTGTTAAATGAACACTTTTGACAGTGTTATATGTTTGAAAGTAACCTAGTCAGTTTTGAAGATTAACAATGGCTAACACTGAGCAGTGCTGATTTTCTAACACTGGAAAATAACTCAAAATGTTAGAAATATTCCAGTGTTAGAAAACCAGCACTGCTCAGTGCATCGGAATGAGCCACGTCGTTTCTTTCGGTGTATTGAAGCAGGCTGCAAGCAGACATACACCAGGTATGGCGCGTTTAAGGCTCATTTTTACCGAAGACACTCTGCCCCCACCCATGTCACTGGTGTGGCGGTGGTTCCTTCGTTTACATGTGCAATGGCGATGTGTGAACGTCTGTGTCAGAACTCTAAAGAGTTAATAGCTCATCTGAAGAGCCATATTGTGGAAGGACACGTGGTCACTTGTCCAGTAAGAGGATGCACAAATACCTTTAGAGTTAAATCATCTTTTACTGCTCACGTGTCGTAAACACAGAGAGTTTTCAGACAGCAGCATTGGTGATTTATATAGACAGTCTGCATGTCAATCATCATCTGTTCCAACCACATCAGATGACTTTGTACCCTTGATTTCCGAGCCTGCTGCACAGTCTATTACAGATGAAGATAATATGGAAATGCCCCCTGAATTCTGTGATCTTTTTCTGAGAAACGTTTCACTATTCTACTTAAAATTGCAGGGTCAGTTTCTACTGCCTGCTTCAACCATACAGAACA